GGAATAAACGAAGGACATGAATCCCTCTGCGGACACACTCGGTTTGGCTCTGATGGGATCTTAGTGGCATCTGAGGGCCCTGAGATTTCACAGCCCATCTACAAACTCCCAGGGCTGTTGATGAAGTCGGCTGTTCTCCTGTAAAGACACTCATGAACAGCCTAGGCGAGGGTAAACTTCCCAAAGCAGCCTTTCAGGTGGAGGCAGCTATTTTGTTTGTTTTTCATATGGAACACTTCTCGAGTTCGTGTGTCATCCTTGCTCAGGGGCCACGCTAATCTTCTCTGTGTCGTTCCTGTTTCAGTACATGCGAGTACCAGGCAGCTGTGGTTCTGAGTAGCCCTCATCCCGCCTCACCCCATGTTTGGGCAATTCTAGTGGACTTGCAGAAAGCGGAATCAGGCAAATACGTTTGCCAACTCGAATGTAGCAGGTGATGCCCCCTTCTTCCCAGGGGCTGGCCACTAGCACTGCCCAGCCTCCATTGCTACAGGTTCACCTGCTGTATAATGATGGGCCACCCACACTGGTCCCTAAGTCCAGGGCAGCCGTGCAAGGCTGAATGTGGGAGGAAAGTGTGACATGTCCCTGTGGAGTGACAGGGCCATTGCCTAAGCCCAGCTGGCCTGACCTTTCCCCATTTCTCCCCTTTGGATCCCCTTCAGGCTCCGACAGGCCCTGGAGCTAGTAGCTGCATCCATGCTTAGCCCCAGGAAGGCCTTCCAGCCTTCGTGGCTCCATAGAGCTGGGAGGGCCTGCAGCCCTGGCTGATCAGACCAAGAGGCTTCTTATTTAAATAAATGCATCTAAGTTTTCAGACACTAAACGATTCGAAGATATATCAAGTAAACCATCGTACGGGTGTTAGGCTGACTGCCGTGCAGCCTAAGGCTGGTCCGTGTTTTGGCCACACTGACTTAGATCAGGCCTCTGAGCATTTCAAACAAATCGGTCTTCCACGGCCTGGGTTCAGGGTGCTGTCTGGGGTCCTTCCAAGCCACCATCCTCCCTGGGGCTGGAATTCACGTGTTCTACTGAAGCAACATAACTCAAGTCCTTCACTTAGGTCAGTCTATCCAACTCTAAATACTACAGCGCTACAGAAACTGGATGACAAAAGAGAGAGCTGGACAGTGGCAGGAAAATACCACTGGGAGGCAAGAAGCAGCCGAACCCTTGATGAGTGAATTAACTCACTTAGCTGCTGGAAGGTAAACCTTTCTGGAGTTGGCATCCAAGCCAGGAGGTGGGCCAGCCCGCTGTCAGGTGGGCTCTTTAATGCAAATGAAGTGTAGGTTTGGAGCTCTGATGGAGATCTAGAGGGGCCAGGGATGGGGTGCTCAGTAGTGACTTTTAGCCTGCAACTGCCATGGTGCAGCAAATTTGAAGTTATGAGGAAAGAGAAAAGCAATAGGATTAAAAGTAAGTATCTGGGAGGGGATTTTCCTTGGGCTCACTTCCCTTTGCATTTAAACCTATTATCCTTAGTGTGTTGGAAGCACCTTCTCCAGGAAGCATCCCATTAAATGCTTCAGAAAAGTTACAAGGGATTTTTTGAGCTGTTAGGTAGAGGAAAGAGACACAAAATTCATTAGCATCAGTGGAAATTGCAATGTTAAATCTCCAAATACTAGAGTTGGAATCCTGACCTATAGATTACGAACCTTTCAGTGATATGTGTGTTAAGGATGCATATTATTTTTAAAGAAATAGTTTGGCTACTATCCTTCAAATATCCAAGGATACCTGGAAAAGTAGTCCAAGACAGACCATTGATCCATACCTCCAGTTTCCTAAGCTCTCGGTCTACATCAGGTTAGAACATAAGCTGGTTCCTAGACAACAAGAACTTAAGTTCTTATAGAAATGCCTTTACTAAATTGCACTGATATAATAAGGTCTTTTTCTTTTATTATTAGAATGTTATGGCATTTTTAGAAAAATCCTTATGCTGCTTAATATTCTCACGAGTAAGGATCCTCATGAGAAGATATTTGTGACATTTGCATCAAAGATAACTTTATTTCTCTTAAGAGGTTGGGATCTTTCCTTTAATCAGACAAGTGTTACATAATTCATCCTGTTTCTACTTTCGCTTTGGCTGCCAGGAAGCTCAAAGTTAAATTATCTTTTTAAGACCAGTAAGTATATTGGCCTAAATTTTGGGTATGATCATTTTTCTATTTATTTTACTATCTGCTTAATAATCTTCAATAATAATTTTAACAGTCCTGTTATATCTGAATCTGGTATATATTACATGTTATGTATCAGATATAGTATAAATTATATCAGGTCTCTTGTTGCTTCCAACTGACAGATGCTTATGCTCAAATTAGCTTAAGCAATAAAAGTGAGGAGGGGAAACTTATTGGCTCATCTATCTGAGAAGTTGAAAAGTTCAGGGTAGATCTGATTATAAAACTCTAGAGCAGGGACAAGTCAAAGGGACACAGGAACAAACCTGAAAGAGCTCCCAGTGACCAAAGCTGGAACAATCTGAACAACCAAATAAATAACATAGTATTGAGTTATAACCCAAAGTATAAAATAAATATACATGAGTCCATACTTATATAATATACATAAATAACTGAATAAATAGGAACAAGAATCAAATCTTCTTTACAAAAGAATTTAAAAAATGTATGTAGATACTCACCCTCTAGGAGGTAGAAGTTAATTTCCTTGTGAGTGGGCTAGATTTAGTGACTGGCTTCCAAAGAGCAGGGTATGAAAAGGGAAAATAACACCTTTACAGTAAAGAAACCTGGCAAACATTACCTTACCCAAGTGATGAAGGTCAACGTCACCAATGATGAGTCGTGTTGATATGAACCCCCTGATATGATGTGAGGGGAAGGAGACTTTACTTCCATGGTCATCTTTCCAAAACTCCATAACCCCAGTCTGGGCATGAGAAAAACATCAGACATGTCCAAGTTGGAAAATATTCTACAGGATATGTGGCCAGAACTCCTCTAGACTGTCAATCAAGGTCATGAAAAACAAGGAAAGACTGAGAAACTGTCGCAGACCAAAGGCAACTAAGAGGGCATTATGACTAAATGCAGTGTGGTACCCTGGATTGGAAAGAGGATATTGATGGAAAAACTGATGAAATCTAAATAGACTGTAGTTCACAGTGATGTGCCAGTGTTGGTTTCTTCCTTATGACAAATGTAGCATGGTGAGATATAGTAGAAGGTGTTAACAATGTGAGGAACTGGAACTCTCTACACTGGCGTCTTAGTCTGTTCTGCTATAAAAGAATATCATACACTGGATGGCTTTTAAACAACAGAATTTAACTTCTCACTGTTCTGGAAGCTGGAAGTCCAAGATCAGGGTGCCAGCATGGTTGGGTTCTGGTGAGAGTCCTCTTCTTGTTTTGCAGATGGTCATTTTCTCTTTTTTAAAAGTATTTTATTTATTTATTGTTTTATTATTTAATTATTTTATTTTGGGTTGGGAGGGGAAGCAATTAGGTTTATTTATTTTTAGAGGAGGTGCTGGCGACTGAACCCAGGACCTCATGCATGCTAAGCATGCACTCTACCACTGAGCTAAACACACCCACTGTAGGTGGTCATTTTCTTGTATCCTCACATGGTAGAGAGAAAGAGAGGGAGCCTGTGTTTCCTCCTCTTTTGTAAGGGCACTAATCCCCTTCATGAGGGCTCCACCCTCATGACTTACTCACCTCTCAAAATCCCCACCTCCAAATACCATCGCACTGAGGGTTAGGATTCCAACATATGAATTTGGGGAGACACAAACATTCAGTCCATTGCTTTCTTTGTACCTTCTCTATAAATTTTAAATTATTCTTTTTTATCTTTTTTTTTAACGGAAATGGGGATTGAACCCAGGACCTTGCGCATGATAAGCACACACTCCACCACTGAGCTATTACCCTCCCCATCAAAATTATTCTTAAGAAACAGTTAAAAAGTAACAATGGTCTAAATACTCCCATTAAAAGGTAGAATGGTCAGAATGGATAAAACAGACCCAAGTATGTATTGTCTAAAAGTGATGCACTTTAATTTTAAAGACAGACTGAAAGTAAATGGACGGAAGATAATTTGCCCTGCAAAAAGTAAGCCTAAAAAGGACAGAGCGACTACGTTAACAACAGGTTAAATATGCACCAAGGCAAAGAGGATTCATAGAGACAGATTACACATAAACACACATACATAATCCTGACTGATGGTTTAAGAGAGATCATCTTCATCAAACAGTGTTTAGATCTACGTTTGGCTCAGTCTTGCATCTGCCTTTTTCTCTTTATGTGGCTCCCTGTCCACTTCCTCACCCCACCCTACTTAACCAGTTTTAGCAACCTATTATTTACCTTTTCCATGTTTCCCTATGCATGCAAAATTATTTCTAAACACATGGTAAGACCATACATACATGTATATATACATATACAAAATATTTTTGTCATTGCTTTAGGGAAAATGGGTTAAAGCATACACATGGGCTTCAGTTTCTCTTTTAAGACCTTGTGCAGATTGCTCTAGGACCCCAGACAGCATACTAACTCACTATTTTTAATGACCCTTAAGAATTATCCATTACTGTGAATTATCCACAATGTAGTTAACATTGAATATATATCCTTACATTATTATTATAAAGATTCCCAGGTGTGGGATTCTGGGTCAAAGGGACAGGCGTTTGTAATAATGAAAAGACAACCTATGGAATGGGAGAAGATATTTGCAAATGATGCAACTGACAGGGCTTAATCTCCAGAATACAAAAACAGCTCATACAAATAACAACAATAACAAAACAAACAAATAACCCCATCCAAAAATGGGCAGAAGACCTAAGCAAGCAATTCTCCAGTGAAGACATACAAATGGCCAATAGGCACATGAGCAAATGCTCAATAGCACTAATTATCAGAGAAATACAAATCAAAACTACAATGAGGTACCACCTCACACCAGTCAGATGGCCATCATTCAAAAGTCCACAAACAATAAATGCTGGAGAGGGTGTGGAGAAAAGGGAGCCCTCCTACACTGTTGGTGGGAATGTAGTTTGGTGCAGCCATGATGGAAAACAGTATGGAGACTCCTTAAAAAACTACAAATAGAGTTAGCCTATGAACTAGCAACCCCATTCCTGGGCATATATCCAGAGGGAACTCTAATTCAAAAAGATACTTACATGCTAATGTTCACAGTAGCACTATTTACAATAGTCAAGACACGGAAACAATCTAAATGTCCACTGACAGATGACTGGATAAAGAAGTTGTGGTATATTTACACAATGGAATACTGCTCAGCCATAAAAAAGAAT